AAAATGCCGGCGAAACCCTGTGGTTTCGGGGGGGGGGGGGGGAGCAGCCTCCATCAGGTCATTCGAGGGAGGATATTGGGGGGGGGGAATATCACACATTCCTGTTGCTTGCAAGCACCTTAAAATGCATTACTTTGTTGCGAGCAATAGGGGCCGACGGCTTCTTATGACTCGCAACCACAATAATGCATTTTAAAGTGCTTGCAAGCAAGAGGGGGGCGGGAAACAGCCTCCCCCAAGCGACCTGATGGGGGCAGCTCCCCCCCTCCCTAGACCCATTTTCAGTCGCCCTTTTCTTCCACCCAACCGGGCCACAGCCGGCGCGCACGGACCTCCCCGCTCCCGCGCAGCCTCACAGCAGCCCTGCGAGGGAGGCCAGGCCAGGAGAAGCGGATCATGCCGGCTGGAGATCACGCAGCGGCCGTGGAAGGAGCCGGAGACCCCGACCCCATCCCACCCCCGGGCGCCTCACCTGCCCCAGCAGCCCCGCGGGCGAAGCACAGCAAGGCGCCCAGCGTTACCACCGCCGCCGCCACGACCCCCCTCACGGCCATCTTGGCTCCTCAGGACTCCTCCGCGCGGACGCCCCAACCGCCACCGACGAGACGCTCGCTCGATCACCTCAGGCGCCTGACCCGCTTAAAGGGGGGGGAAGGGGGAACGGCATGAGGGCGCGGGAGGCGGCAACAGCAGCCAGCCAATCACCGGATGAAGGGGGAGCGGATTAGCGGCGCGATTGGTGGGAGAGGACGCCAAGGGCGCGCGGCTGGGCCAACCGGAGAGCGGAATCGGAAAGGGGGTCGGCGTCTTGCGAAGGGAAGCACCACAGTGGGCAACGCAAACTCTGAATGACGCGCGGCTGGTCCAATCGGAGAGGGAACGTGGCCGAGTCTTCCCACCCCGCAGTGCTTGTGAAGGGGAAAATTTTTTGGAAAAAAAAAAATCTTTCCCGGGGGGGGGGGGAATGTGTGACATGCCGCAGAGGGAACAAAGTTTGAGTCCAGTCAGGGACCTCGAAGGCCAACCAAGTTTAATTCAAGGTAGCAGTTTTCGTGTGCATGCACACTTCTTCAGACGACAGCTTCTACCCAGGATTAAACGTTATTGACCTTCAAGCTGCCTGACTGGACTCAAACTTTGCTACTTCAGACCAGCACGGCGACCCACCTGACTCTACCCTACTGAGGGATGCCGGTTGGTCACGTCCGTCATGCTAACATCTTTAACCAATCAGAGTTCCGAATTCTCGCGGGCACCGGCCATCAGAGAATGGCTTTTCCAAATTGGCACCACCTCAGGCCAATAACGGTCCCAGTCGCCTCGCGTGCTGCCGCACAGCCCGCCTACTTCTCTTCGGCCGTCGCCACCGCGGGCCACGCCCTGCTAACCTGCGCAGCCAACCATGCCGCGGCTACGTGACCTGCGGGCGAGCGCGCGACCTTCAGAGGCACCGGAATGACCTCTGGCACGGGGCAGAACCCATCGCGTGCATTATAGGGGGAACGATCTGCGGCTAAACTTCCTCGGCGTCCTTGATGGAAAAGTCAAGATTTTTTTAAAATTGGAGCACCTGGGCACCTAAGGAGATACTTGAATATGGATAGTCCCATAGAATAATATTGGCCAACATCCAGTTTGGATTGCCATCCTCCAGGTGGTAGCTGGAGACCTGCTGAGACTACTGATCACCAGGTGACAGAGAGCAATTCATCTGGAGAAAATGGCTGCTTTGGAAGGTGGACTCATCCTCTTCAGGCTCCACTCCCGAAATCTCCAACCTGGACTTGGCAGCCCTACATGCAATAGATGTTTCACCCTAAAATGGCTTCTTAATCAAAAATAACAAGACACCGCAAAAGGCCAGGGAGGAAAACAGCTCCTGATCTGGAACATAAGCCAATTAAGAGGGCAGCATACTGTTTACCCTGGAAGGTTGCATTCCCAGTCTCAAGACCTGCCTTGCAGCTTCTAACCCAGCAGGACCTTCAGAAGAAAAGATGCTCCTAGCCAGAAACCCAGGATCACTCAAGGTTGGTTTCCAGAACAAGGGAGTATAGTACAGTTGTGTACCCAAACATTCCATGTACCCAAACATTTTAACCCGCGTAAGCCACCTCCAGCCAGTCTGCACCGGCAAGGCGGGATACAAATTGAAAATAATAAATAAATTCAGCTATTTAATTTAGCAGCGCACAAATTCAAGCTTTAGTTCGTTAGCTAACTCCCCGTTCAGGGTGTAAATTTCTGACATGTACAAGCCTGAGGGTCAAAAGCTTGTGTTCAGCCAATGCCCTCTGACCCTGAAAACCTTTCCCCTAGTTTTCCTTGCTTTTTACCGATACAAGGGACAGACACAGACAGCCTGGGCATGTACACACACAGGCCTTATTCCACATGGCTCCAGGCCCGTGCCCCAACAATGACAGCAGGTTTTACTCAACTGGAAATCACTTCGCAGCACTCCAGTAACTTCTACAGGAGCCAGCGGTCAACTGGCCTTCGCTAGCAATGTGTGGCCATGTTGGCAACCCCAGAAAGGGTTTCGTTTCAGGATGATTCTAATAATGGCCAATTATTTGGCCACAAATACACTGTACCACAGGACTCCCCAACACGGTGCCCGTGGGCACCATGGTGCTCACCAGTACTTTCCTTAGTACCTCCCTCAGAGCTTTTCAGAAAGTAAGTGGGGCCATTGTAAGGCAGGGATTGCTATTGGCTGCCCTCATCCAAATGAAATGTGCTTTCTGCTTGAGAATCAGGAGGATAGCTAAGCACCTGGGCTTTCCTTAGTCAGTGTGTGGTTCCATTCCCCCTTCAGGCTTCCCTCTTTCCACCATCCCTCAAAATTCCAAAGGTGCCTGCAGACCCCAAAAAGCTTGGGATCGCCTGCTCCACGCCCAGTGCACAGCTCTGTCATTTCTAATACCATGGGGTGTGTGTGGCTTTTGAGCTTTGCTTGCCACCCTGGGTGGAGAGGCTGCTGTGCAAGGCAGATTGGCAGTCAACAGCCAGTTAGCTTCCTCCAGGGTGGATCCTCAGATCAGTAGCACTGTTTGCCAAACATTTGATTTTATGCATCAAACAAGAATGTTTTTGCTGTGCCAGACCTCTGATATTTTATAATTATTGGCTGCTTTTCTTCTGGCTTAATGATTCTCAGGATTTTACTGACAGGTGTGGCATTTAAGTGTTATGCTGCCATCCACTGTTTATGGACAACTATTGGTTGCATTTTGCAGAAGCCTCTTTGGGAGCCCTCTGGCTGAGACCTTTTGCAGAATACCATTTTTAAAACATGTTTTCAGTCTTCAGGGAACTGCTTCTATATTAGCTCACACATCTCCAACAGCTCTCCAGAATGCTGCCGAAGACTGAGGCGTGTTCTAACGGGTCCCAGGCAAACTTTTTCAGAGGTTGTTCATTAAGAAGATCACGCACTGGATACAGACTGTCCTGCAAGACAGATTGCCTGATGCAAACTGACCCCAAGATTTAGCTGCTGGTGCCTGTTAAAGCACACAGAACAAGACAGCAGGGAGGCAATAGGGCAGGCCCTGGTGAAGCAAATCCAAAGCCCCTCATGGACAAACACCACTTTGGAAGCCTCCGAAAGTAAATGTAAGTAAATAAGGCCAGCCAGCCATTCAAACTAAATCCTACTGCATACGGGCAGTGTCAGGCATCCAGATGCATCTTTATTTCAAAGTCCTTTTATGTGTGTGTGGCTTTTGCATATGGGCAGTGTCAGGCATCCGGATGCATCTTTATTTCAAAGTCCTTTTATTATATAGCTTCAAAACCAAGAGGGGGAAAATAAGACCACAAAAGCAAGAACTCCCACTCTGTGTTGACAAAAAAAGCCCCCCTCATCATTGTCTGACCATGAACTCCCACCTCTTTCTTACAGACCCTCTGGTTTCCTAATATATCCCAGTTGCAAATGACCCCCCCCCCAAAAAAAAACCCCACAAGTTTTGGGGGCAGGATCCCACTCCCCAAGCAGTTAGAGGACTTTAGACCATCTAGAACTTGGCAGCAGAACACAAGTGTCCTCCAGTGGCTGAAAGTGGCACTGCAATTTCAGAAGGGCTCCAATGAGAATTACTTAAACTTTTTAAAGGGGGGGGGAGGGGGGAGTTCAAACTACAGTCAATGTGCTCAACCATCTACTCTGCCCACCTTGCTTTCCTAAACAGCCCTTGCTACAAATTCTCCCAAAATAATGTGGCATTTGAAAAAATAGCACGCGCACACACACACAGACACTGTGCCGTTTGACAGCCTCGTGGGGCTGGGAAGCAACATCCTTTGTGTTCTCCTCAGTCCCGGTAGAACCACCCACTTGATTTCCAGCAACAACCAGGGATGGGTCTGTAGGAATGGCTACCCTCTCTTTCCGCTCTCCCAGCTGGAGAAGACCCAGGACTGCAGATCCTGCCAGGCGCGCCTGACGCGGAGTTGTCCCGTGGCACACCCCCCCACCCCGCCCCCACAAGCAGAAGCTGAGTCTCCCTTTTTTTGAGGTAGAGAGTTTTGCCTCAGGGCTAAACAGGGTTCTATGTCTCAGCCGGCTGTTGCCTCCTGGGTTCAAGTACCAAAAAAAGTCAAGATAAGTTTATTGCTCCCCTCAGGAGGCAGCGGTGCAAAAGGGGAGGGGGAGAAGAGGGAGGAGGGCCCCCGGGAGGCATCCCTCATCAAGATTCCTCATTGCCGGAGTCGTCCTCGTCGCCGTAGCAACTGTCAACTTCGTCCTCCATCTCGTCGTCCTCGTAATAGTCATCGTAGAAGAGGTCAGAGCCTTCATCCGGCGCGGGAGTCTTTGTTTTCACGCAGTACTCTGCCAGCGTGGTGGGGACCTTGACTCCATCGCGTTCGGCATCCACCTTGGTTCCAAGGACTTGCTTCCTGGAAAGTGGGCAGGGAAGGGGGGGGGGGGACGGGACATGAGACATTGATAAAAGATGACTGTCGGTTAAAATCGTTTTACCCCATCTTTCTCTGGAGACCTGGTGGCTTATGAATGCTCACGGCAGAGCTACGAAATCAGTACCTGTAATCCTCAGACATAACAGAAAGCCTTAAAATAAACATATCCCCCCCCCCCCCCCCCCCCCCCGCCTCCAATCAAGGCTCTCTGGAACAGGTTGTTTATATACCCCCTAAAAAAAGACAGGGATTGTTGGAACCCTCTCTGCACAGACACTTTTGCAGTGTTGGTCCCATAACCAAAAACTCCTCCCTTGTCTGAGCTGAAGGGGAATGGGCCTGCCTGTAGGAGGCAGTGGCCACTGGAGGAAGGTCACTCACATGGGGGAGTCGATCCAGGTGGGCAGCCGTGTTGGTCTGAAGCAACAGAACAAAGCTTATACCCAGAATTCAACTTTGTTGGTCTTAAAGGTGCCACTGGACTCAAACTTTGTTCACACGGGGGACTGTAATGCGAGAGACAGTCCGCTTGAGACAAAGGTGGTAGAGGGTTTTATAGGTGAGAATCAGCACCTGAAATCAGGCCCATTGCAGATGCTGGCGCAGGGATGGCTCCAGCCAGACACCTCTACCCTGCGCTCCCAGAGTTCTGCCTCCCATTTGCTTGCTCTCTCCCTCTTCCTTCATTCTTGGACTCTTAGCTTCTCAACTTTCGGTTGCTGGAACACTGAAGGAACAGATTTGTCATGCCTTGCGATCTGGCTATGCTTGTGTGGAGAATGATCCCTCTCCCCACAATTTTCATTCACTGTACTTGGCTACCTTCCGGGGCTGGTATAAGAAAGCCATGCCCACCTGCCAGGGGATACAAAGACCCCCAGGGGCGAACGAGTAGGCTGTAAACTGGGTCCCTGCTAAGGTCGTGTAAATGGGCTCAGCCAGCACAAGACTAACGGAAGGTAAGGTTGCTAACCTCCAGGGAGTGGCTGGAGCTCTCCAGGGATCACAACTGATCTCCAGGCAACAGAGTTTGGTCCTCGATAACAGCTCTAACATCCCCACAAGCCTCAGGCTCAAGGGAATCTATGCCAGCCCAGTGGCCAACAACTTTCCTGCCACCATGAGGAGTTGTGGCTCAGTCGTAGAGCATCTGTTTTGGCATGCAGAAGGTCCCAGGTTCAATCCCCAGCATCTCCAGTCAAGAACCAGGCAGTAGGTGATGGGAAAGACCTCTGTCCGAGACCCTGCAGAGGTGCTGCCGGTCTGAGTAGACAATACTGACTTTGATGAACCAAGAGTCTGACTCAATATAAGGCAGATTCATATGTTCACCTCCGGTTAACAGTTGCTTCCTGTCTAGTTACCTAGACTCAGATGACCAAGCGTGGAAGCATGGTATTTGTGCTAGATGTTTGCTTTGCTCTTTCTCCTAGGATGTCAGGGCACCATACACGCTTCTCCCTTCCACCACTTACCTTCACAACAACCCTGTGAGGTGGCTTAGGCAGAGTGTGACTAGCCCACAGTCAACAAATGAGCTTCACAGCAAAGTGAGAATTAGAACTCAGATCCCACCCAATACTAACCACTGTACAACACCACTCTGCCCAGAACAGGGCTTCTGATCGATGCAGCCTCAAAGCAGAGTACAGGGTGATGGCATCTCTGAACTCGAAGCTGGGGTGGGGGTAGGGGGATGATGAAACAGGACACAAGGAAAGTCTTCCCACCCACCTGATGAGTGGGTGGGGGATACACAACAGGACACAAGGAAAGTCTTCCCACCCACCTGATGATATCTGTATATTCCTGATCCTTCCCTTTGCTCTCCTTCCATTTCCTGTACATCACAGAAGCATCGACATTGGCCGGAGAGAATGTGTTCGGTTCATTGAGCAGCGAGATCACACTGAGGAGGATCGTCCTGGCATTGGGGGGGAGGAAACAAGAGAGTTAAGAGGTGACAGACAGGAAACCCAGGCATGAAGGTTGCGGCTAAACCAGAATGGGGGGCCTTCCTGCCAATCGCTGCGGCTAAAACTTACAGGTAAAGCAGCAACCAGAATGGGGGGCCTTCCTGCCAATCAAAGTCCTCACTGGCTGCACACACACACATTTTTTTTCTGTGCTGAACCAAAAAGCACCAAGAGGGACATTGGCTGATTTCACAGCCTGCCTCCAAAGACCAGGTGCCAAAGACTATGCTCTGCAGGTTTTCTCCAAGGCATGGCCTTCTCGGGCAAAGGAGCTCCGCCCTTCTTCCATCTTCCACTCGGGATTGCCTTTTCCTCACCAAAGGAAGCCCGTGTTCTGAAAATGGTCCATGATGCTAACTGGCAGGCTGGAACCTCCATCCAGCCTCTGGAGTCTTCTTGTCTGCCCTGCCCACAACCCCTGATTATAGGTACCTGCGGTCTGGCCCTACACCATTCCATTTACCATATTTCTAGCTGGTGGTGTGATATCTAGTAAGAGTAGGTTGCACAGTTGTTGCAAATGATGATATTTATGGTTTGGTGCAAAGGATTCGTAAAACTCTTCCACTGTAGTGGGTCTCGACCCACCCCCGTGCCCCGCAGAGCTCCATTTAACAGGACAGGTTTCAGTGATTATCCTTTGCTTCAGGTTTCTGCAACCCAAACCCCACTCCCCTGTTGCACTGGATATCTCATGCCATTGATTGTGGTAGACTAACACTGTGTAATTTGGCCAGTAAGTCTCTGTGAGTCTCAGAATCTGTGAATCTCAGAAAGACAGACTACGATAACGTTAAAAAAATGAATATGAATATATATATATATATATTCCTTGAGACACTGCTTTCTAAAGGAAGTTGTAGGAGCCATTATTTTGAAGGAGAACCACACCCACACACATCTAGACAGTCTCCATTCTTTCAGACTGTTTGGAATCAGACATCCGTGGTAGTGGAAGATACAAAAAGCCTGATCCTCAGGGAACAACAATGCAAACACTAATGGCCATGGGCTAAAAAAGGTCACAAGAAGTCAGAGATCTTGTGGTGGATTCTGAGGTGGCAAGTAACCAACGCAGCATTTCAAATGCACGCACCACCTCTTAGAAACATGTCACGTGAAAACAGCTCCCAGTGCCGACTATATCATCCACACCGTATCTTATGTTTAGAGCATACCACGTGTATGCTCGTGGAGGCAAGGGGCAGGCAACGGACTCTTTAGCCCCCTCCTTCCCAGAATGAACAGCAAAAGACGCCTTGATGATCATCCTTCACACACCTGTTGCCGTCCCCTGTGGGAACTGAGAGATTGGAGGTGGAGTGATGAGGGCTGTGTGGTGTAGTGGTGAGAGCCTCAGACTAGGGCCTGGGGTGACTGGACTCGAACCCCTCGCTCACCTGCCAGGCCGCATCACACTCTCGCAGCTTCACCTACTCCTGACAAGGTGGCTGCTGTGAGGATTAAGTGGAGGGAAGGGAACGATGTCAAAAGCTGCTCTGAGTCCCCAGCCTGGGAGACAAGTGGGATATAAATTTTAAAAAAAGTAAAAGGTTTCCCTTGCTCGAAAGCCAGTCGAATCCGACTCTAGGGGGCGGTGCTCATCTCCATTTTTAAGCCAAAGAGCCAGCGCTGTCCAAAGACGACTTCGTGGTCATGTGGCCACCATGACTAAATGCCGAGGCGCATGGAATAATTTAAAATAGGCATAATTTTAAAAACAAGGTGAAAAGGCTCTTGGCCACTTCTTGGGAGGGAGCATCAAGCGACAGGCCGGCCAGGGACTCCGCTGCTGTTTGTGTCAGGGAAGAAGGAAGCAGAGAGGCTCTCGCCTGCGTCTCCACTGGGTGGAACCGTCCTGCTGACCCTTCAGACCTCTGCCTGTCCTGTCAGAAATGGGTTCCACGAAACAGTTTTGCCGCCCTCGGGGCAAGAAGTCTCACCTCACGTTCTGAGTAGGATTCCACCTTTCTGAAGGCAGCTCCCCACTTTGCGGGTCGTCCACCGGTGGGTGAAGGATGGAGATGCAAACATCTCCAGTCTGGAGGGGGGGGGGGGAATGCAAGAGAAAGAGAGATTAAAAATGCAGAAAAGACTTCTGGTCTACAGGCAGGTCACACCCTTCAGCCCCATAAGATTATTACAGTTACCTCTCACAAAACAAGCCCCCAAGACGGGCTCTTTCCTCCACAAGAGCCCACTGACACTTCTGCTGCCAACTTTATATTGTCCAGCAGAAGGTGAGACTCCCAGAGGCCTCTGCTCAGCACAGAGAAGGGAAGGAGTGCAGCTGGCCATTGGGGAGAGAGGCCAACCCCAAACTCACGAAGGAAACTAGAAGCGTTTGGGGTCGGCCGCTTGCCCCAATGACGGACGGCACCCATTCAGTTCTCCGTGGTGGGCAGAGGTCTTCTGCTGCTCCCAAGGGCCTCCAAAGGCAAGCCAAGCCCACCTCTCTCCCAAGTCAGCAGGCTCTGGGTCAGTGGCAAGCCCCAGGAACCGCTAATGCTCTGCTGCTCTCTATGCCTCCAGCCTCCTGTGGGAAGGCTCAGGTAATTCACAAAACTCTCGTTTTGCACATGGACACTCACTGAGCCATGTTAAATGAATCAAAGGTAAAGAGGGATCAGTGAGTGCGCGTGTGCAGCCAGTGAGTGTGTAATACCTAAACATAGATATACTTAGATTGAGATGGGCAGCCATGGTAGTCTGTCTGTAGCAGGAGAAAAGAGCAAGAGTCCAGGAGCACCTTAAAGACTAACAACATTTGTGGCAGGGGAGGAGCTTTCGTGAGTCACTGCTCACTTCTTCAGATAGAACAAGATGGGTGGCCGAGGTAGTCTGTCTGTAGCGGGAGAAAAGAGCAAGAGTCCAGCGGCACATTAAAGATTAACACAATTTGTGGCAGGGGAAGAGCTTTCCTGAGTCTCTGCTCACTTCTTCAAATAAAACAAGATGGGTGGCTGTGTTTGTAGCAGAATGAAAGAGCAAGAGTCCAGGAGCACCTTCAAGACTAACACAATTTGTGGCAGGGTAGGAGCTTTTGTGAGTCACCGCTCACTTCTTCAGATAGATCAAGATGGCTGGCCACGTTGGTCCGTCTGTAGTAGAAGTAAAGAGCAAGAGTCCAGGAGCACCTTAAAGTCTAACACAATTTGTGGCAGGGTAGGAGGTCTTGTGAGTCACCGCTCACTTCTTCAGGCAGATCAAGATGGGTAGCCATGTCTGTCTTTAGCAGTAGAAAAGAGCAAGAGTCCAGGAGCACTGTAACGATCTCATGTTTTTTGTGTGTGTGTCTTTAAAAGGTTTACATTGCGGTGTAAAAGTCTAATGTGGCTGAAACAGGCAAGTTGTGTGATTGGTGAGTGACAGAGAGGGGGAGGGTTTTTTGGAATGGATGCTGTGTGGATGATTTGAATGTCTATCAGGAGTAACTGTTAGAGTTTAGACAGTTTATGATGACAGTTGAGTTGATGAGAGTAAGAGCAGAGTGTGCTGTGTAAAAGAGTTGATATGAGTTTTGTCCTGAGGTCTCTGTGTGAGAAGTTTTCCTGTGTGAAATATAAGAGTGAAGTCTCTGTGTTATAAGAGTTACAATTGAAAGCTGAGAGTCTAAGAAAAGTACAGTGAAAAGTGTTACTAAGTTGCTTTAACCTACCTGTCAGTAAAGGAGAAGCTTGTGAGAAACACCAAGCATTTGTTCAAATCCTTCCCAGTACTGTTTACATTGTTTACCCTCGTATTTATGTTTTCTTTAAATAAATCCTAATTCCTTCAAGTTTACCAGCTAAGTAAAGAATCCTTCCTCAGACCACATAGTTCCTCGAAAGGCCTAGACCCCGTGCTACAATACCAACCCCAGAAGCAAAGAGAAGAATTGGAATTTATTAAAATTCCTGGTGGCAGCCAGAATACCCAAAGAAAAATAAACCATAAGAACTTTTAAAGTAAAACTAGACCTCCCCAGATAAGAGGTCGTCACAAGCACCTTCAAGTCTAACAACATTTGTGGCAGGGTAGCAGCTCTTGTGAGTCACTGCTCACGTCTTCAGATAGATCTGAAGTATCTGAAGAAGTGAACAGTGAACTCACAAAAGCTCATCCCCTGCCACATTTTTTAAAATCTTTAAGATGCTCCTGGACTCTTGCTCTTTTCTACAAATGTATTTGTCCTTTTTCACAAAGTACCAATCATGCATGGTGATGTCAAAAGTAAAGCAAGCAAGGTCAGTCTCTGCCCTGAAAGAGTTTTCATAGCTGGGAAGACAAAATAAAGAACCCAGAAACAAGAGTCAAACCAGGAATTATTTATTATTTAATGGGAGGAAGCACAGCCTTGCCTACTTGGGGCCTTGTTGTACATGAAGACTTATGGAAGAATTCAGGTCAACGGCTTCGAAGAAAAGGAGAGGGAAGTCAAAGGCATGCACGAGAGCAAGCAAAAAGCAGCATCACAAAGCTATTTGGGGATAAGAGGCAGCAAAGGGAAAATGGGCAGAGTATTTTAATCACTCTGAACACAATCGATGTGAAGACAGATGAATTCTGGCTCATGCCAATCCCTGGCATGATCAGGATTATCAGTGAATAAAACCAAGGCAATGTGAAGACAGATGAATTCTGGCTCATTATCAGGATTATCAGTGAATAAAACCAAGGCTTTAGAAAGATTTAACCATTTTTTTAAAATCCAAACATTAAGCATCCCACTTTAAATATCGCCTGGTTAAAATTAAACCTGAAGACAGGCACATTAAGAATTCATTTTAATAGGAAACCAGTGGCTGATTTAATACCCTTGAGTTCCAGTCTGCTTTTCTGTATAAATGAAGAATCAACTCGCTCAGTTCAGTTTGGTGATGGAAAGTTCTGTCAAGTCACAACTGACTTACGGCGACTCAGAAGGGCTTTCAAGGCAAGAGATGTTCAGAGGCGGTTTGCCATTGCCTGCCTCCGTGTCACAACCCTGGTATTCCTTGGAGGTTTCCCATCCAAATGCTAACCAGGCCCAACTCTGCTAACTTCCGAAATCTGATGAGATTGGGCTAGCCTTCGCCATCCAGGTCAAGGCAAGAGATGAACAGAGGTAGTTTGCCCTTGCCTGCCTCTGCATAGTGACCCTTGACTGCCTTTCTGGCCCTCCATCCAAGTGCGAACCAAGGCCGACCCTGCTTAGCTTGAGACCTGGTGAGATTGGGCTAGCCTGAGACATCCAGGTCAGGGCTGAGTTCAATTTATCCTCCGTTTATCTCGCAGTCCAGCACAGCCATCTCCTTCTTCATCTCATGACATTCCACCCACTTGCTCAGACTCCGCTACCTCATTGGGATAAAATGAAGGAGGAAGAAGAACCACGAACCCCACCCTCATCTCCTTGGAGGGAGGGCGAGACGAAGATGTACTAAATAAATAACAGTGCAGGCAGCACAGAGAGGGTCTAAAACGGGAGGGGGGAATCACTGCTCGCTCTTCCAAAGAGGGCCCTGAATTCCTGGTAGCTGCATAGTTGGGTACAAGCCAGGAGGCACTATTTTGCAGGCAATTTACTTCTATTTACACTCACCGTGATATATGTAATAAGCAAAATTGTACATTTAATAAGCTATTACATGCTATTTTCTAAAAATAGGAACAATCTAAAAATTACACCACGTACACCCTCCTTGATGGGATAAATGCCCTGCTTAGCTGGACATAAACATGCTGTAACGATCAGATGGGGACAGTGTTTGTGCGAAAGGAGGACTCCCGGGAAAGCCCCTTCCCCTGGTGATTTCCACGGACCTGATTTAGAGCAACCCACCCAGTCACATACCTCATATATGTTAGGATGCCACATCTTTGTCAGGAATCTGAAGGCAGGTGGTGAATAAGGGTAGTCGATGGGGAACCTGAGACGAGCCTGCAGAGGAAGAGGAGGAGAGGAAATGAACTGGGAAAGTGCAGCCAGCTCCGGTCACCTCTAACAAACCAGCATTCCACTGTGTGCCTCCACAGCACTTCCTGTGTAGGTTAGGAACTCAGCTCACACACCCCTCACACAACATAAACCATGCTGATTCCCTTACACAGTGGTCTTCGACCCTTCCAAGCGCTTAGCAGGAAGTCATGTGCCAGTGTCCTATGACAGGACAAGGGGGAGCCGGAGAGGAGACCTCACCAGTGTGCGGCCAGCAGACTGGACAGAGAGCACAAGCCAAGAACCTGGGACAACCCACTCCAGCCACGGCACTGCCCCACCACTCTGTCGCTCATCTCAGCTTTCTGTGAAGAGGCAGGAGGCATGGCTTGCATTCTCTACATGGGGGGTGGGGACCTTTTTGAGCCTGCCAGCACCTTTGGAATTCTGACACAGCATGGTGGGCGTAGTACCAAAATGGCTGCCACTGGAGGCGGAGCCAGCCACAAAATGGCTGCCACAGCTTCCCTTCAGTGACGATCGTTGTACTGTGGTGGCATCTGCTGCCAAAGCAACATTTTTAAAAAATCTGCCCAGTCAATCAAATCTCCAGTAGCCAAGTAGAAGCCCTGCTGGGCAAAAAGCCCGACTTGAGGGAAGTGAATAGTTAAAGTGAGCTAAAGCAACCATAATTGTGTGGACAATGGCTGAATTATGAGTTTGCCTGAGGAATTAGGCAAAGTAATCAAATCCTGGAGATAAGATGGGAAGGGGGTGTAAAAAATGTGGACCGCAAAGAATAGCCTTGGCTCTATTTAAGATGCTAACCAACCACACATGCCTAATAAACTCATATTAACTTTAAAAGCTAATTTTAATGCACATACAATGCATGTTCAAGGAGGGGGGGGTCATGTCACGGAGTTGTATGTTTTATTGTGTGTTGTAGGCAGAACTCAGGGGTGTAAAAAATGTGGACTGCAAAGAATAGCCTTGACTTAAATAGGCTAATAAAGTCATGAATATTAACTGTCCTACCTTGTTTGCTTAAAAAGCTAATTTTAATGCACATACAATGTATGTTCAAGGAGGGGGGGGTCATGTCAAGGAGTTGTATGTTTTATTGTGTGTTGTAGGCAGAACTGAAAGACTGTAAGTCCTCATTACCCAGCCAAGGGGAACAGGACAGGGAGGAGCCAGCCGGGAAGAGGCGATAAATGGAGGTTGTTTGGAATGTTGAGTTGAGCTCGCCTTTGTTCAACTCCCTTTATTGTCAATAAAGTTCACCTAAAAGATACTCCAGACTGACTTTCTTTTATTTGTCCCTTGGAGTGGCCAAGGAAGATAAACATTGTTTCCAACACCACCCACTTCTAAAAACTCTTGGCGGGTGCCAGAAAAAGTGCCGGGGGGCACCATGTCACCCACAGGCCCCACACTGAGGAGCCCTGCTCTACATCCACGCTCACAAGAAGTCTTTCCAAAAACCTCCAAAAACTGTAGAGACTTCCAACCATGAAGGTGGGACTCTGCCTTAGAATCCCAACCAATGCTCCCTCTAAGCTGTGGAGTCTTGTGAGCAAAAATTCTTCTTTATGAGCTAACTGGCATTAAAGTTGTGAGCGAGTGATTTGGCTGCTGCATAAATTAGTTTGCTCTGGAGCCCTCCTTCCTGAGCAAAGACAAAAAACGTGTGAGCCAGAGGCTAAAAAAACTGTGAGCTAGCTCACACTAACTCAGCTTAGAGGGAACACTGGTCCCAACTGCCTTGAGAGGACTCTATGACTGCCCATCATCCTCCAACCTTTAAGGAAGATCGAGGGCCTCTCAGCCTCAGATTCCTGGCCTGTCTAGCTCACCAGCAACCAAGATGGAGATCTCTGCTGTCGCTAATTCCCAGTAGAAGAAGAAGAAGAGATTGGATTTATACCCCGCCCTTCACTACCCAAAGGTGTCTCAGAGTGGCTTACCAACTCCTTTCCCTTCCCCTCCCCACAACAGACACCCTATGAGGTAGGTGGGGCTGAGAGAGCTCTGACAGAAACGGCTCTTTTTCAAGAACAGTTGTGCCAGAATTATGGCTTGCCCAAGGTCATCCAGCCAGGTGCAAGTGGAGGAGTGGGGAATCAACCCCAGTTCTCCCAGATTAGAGTCTGCGCACTTCACCACTACACCAAACTGGCTCTAGAGGTACCAAACAGTACCTGGCCGCCGACACTGAGGCAGTGGAGCCAGACTGGGGGGGGAGCGTCCTTGAGTCCTTTATTAGGGGCAGAGGACAACTCCTTCTTGCACCCGCCCAACTAGCATAATTGGAGACTCCCCCTGTTTTCTATGAAACGGGGAAGAGGCTCTCCGTCTTCTGACTTCCCTCAAAGGGTGGGGGGCTGGAGGTGCCGCCACCCAGTCGCCTGGCTTCCACACCACCGGGAAACCACTGGCCAGAAAACCTGCTGCCACGCTGGGAAGAACCAACTGCTCAGCCCCAGGAATGGTAACTGGCCGAGTGACACCACGGAGGTTTCAACTTATTTCGATGGCTCTCTGATGACTGAATCATCACTGACTGCCTCTGAGACCTTTCCAGCTGAGAGGCAGGTTTCGAACAAGCAAAGGATAAAAGTTTGCCTTGCCGGGAGGTTGGCAGGTGGGGTTTCGCTTGGGTTCACTTCAATGGCAGGGCGGGGCAGACCTCCCAATTCAAAACACCAGTTTCTGAGTCTAGAGGCGGCCTTTCCCAGTATCGTGGCTGGCGATGAGTAACAGCCAACCCCACCTCTAGTTCCACAGGCATTTTCTGACGCCTAAGAGTTTAACTGCTAAGAGTCACTCCCAGCCCATAATATTCAGAGTTCCAGGAGGCTAGTAATGCACTGCGTGAAGACATACTTCCATTGCCCTGACCCGGCCATCTTGTGGATGACCCATTTGTTCTTAATTTCCAGGTGAATAACCGCCCCTCAAGTTACTGACACCGCATCTTGTGATCTTATGCACCTCGATTGCATCATCCCTCCGCCTTCCGACTTCAAGGGCCTCCACTGTTTCAGTCCCTCCCCCGCCAAGCCCTCTGCTTACGGCAGACCCACGGACGGAGCCCCCTTTTCAGCTTCTCAGCATCTGAACAGGATTCTTCCCAACTCTGTACTAGATGTACCTCTCAAAGAAAACCCATTCATATTTTATTTATTTGTCCTAGGTATGTCGGCCTCCAGGTGGGACCTGGGGATCCCACGGAATTACAGCTCGTCTCCAGACTGCAGAGAACAGTTCCCCCAGGGAAAACAGATGCTTGGGTCCCTGCCCTCCCCAGGTTCCACCCCCAAATCTCCAGGAGTTTCCCCACCGGGAGCTGGGAACCCTACACACCCCCACCAGTGGCCAGGGAGGACATGGCAACCCCCTTTGTGTCTGCCCCTTTCTCCCCAGTGGGGACCTAAGGTGGTTGGGCAGAAAGCGGGAGGATGCCAGCGCCTGAGGGCATCAGGTGACCAAAGCATTCCACACCCAACTAGATGTTATTCTGGCTAGAAGAGAAGTGGAGTCTATTGCAATGTTTGCTGTATGCACCACCTTCCTTCTCCTGCATGGTCTTCTGCCTTCATTATATGCTTTCCCTGTTTGTACTGTTTCCCAGTTCTGTAGTCCTAGTCCTCCTGTATAGTTTATTGGATGTCTGGTCATTTTGTAAAAAAGTTATTTTGTGATCCACCTTAAGTCTCAGCAAGACTAGTGGGCCATAAAGGTTCCCTTGCTCGAAAGCCAGTCGAATCCGACTCTAGGGTTGCGGTGCTCATCTCCGTTTCAAAGCCGAAGAGCCAGCGCTGTCCGAAGACGTTTCCATGGTCATGTGGCCGGCATGACTAAACACCAAGGCGCACGGAACGCTGTTACCTTCCCACCGAAGTGGAACCTATTTATCTACTTGCAATTTCTTACTTTCGAACTGCTTGCGTGTGGAATTAAGAGCGGGACGCCACTCCATCATGCGGCACACTCAGGTCTCGAACTGCTGAACTACTGACCTTCTACAGCCTGCAGTTCAGTGTCTTAGCCACTTGAGCCACCGCAGCTCATACATGGTCAATAAAATAAAACGCCAGTTAAGATGCTCTGCCCAGAGGTGACCACGAACAGGGCTTTTTCAGTGGTGGGGCACAGCTCAAGGGTAGAGCATCTGCTTTGCATGCAGAAGGTCCCAGGTTCAATCCCCGGCATCTCCAGTTAAACGGATCAGGCAGCAAGTGATGAGAAAGACCTCCACCTGAGATCCTGGAAAGCTGTGCCAAGTCTGAGTGGACCAGACTGACCTTGATGGACCAAGGGTCGGGTTCAGTATAAGGCGGCTCCATCCATATGCAGTGGTGGTGCTTGGCCTTTGGAAGGCCCTCCCCCCCTTAGGCACCAGGACAGAAGATAACTTCTGAGACAGGCTTCCCTCTAGGGCAGGGGTGTCAAACATAAGGCCCCGGGGCCGGATCCGGCTCGTCCAGGGCTTTTATGCGGCCCGCAAGCATCTGGTGTAAGGGAGGGAACAGGAGACTGCTCAGGGGGGAGTGGGCAGAGCCACCCCAAGTGTAGCTTCAGCATGGCGGAACAACTTTGTCTGCAGCAGTCACACAGTGTAGGAGCGTCTGCCCAGTGCTGCACCGCTGGCTGTCCAGTCTGCCCATGCGAGTTTTCCTTTCCATCTCTTCCCTAACGCATGAGGGCTTGCAGTGAGGATACACCAACAAGGAGCTTACCAGCTGCTGTCCTTACAGTTTAAATCTCCTGTCCCTGCCATTACGTTTTATGTCACACATGGTTCGGCCCAACAAAGTGATATTTATGTCAGATCCGGCCCTTGTAACAAATGAGTTCGACATCTCTGCTCTAGGGGGTCCCACCTTTCTCAAGATGTTCTCCTAGCCTGCAGACTGTTCCATTAATATCATTTCCAACGTCTCATTAATATCATTTTTGATGTGTTTTTATGTCCCAGCTTGTTTCTACCGGCATGT